CCTGTATATGGGACATTTCGGCGGTTTTTTCTGTTTTTTCCTTCACTGCTGGATCATTTGCTACCTTGCTATTACTATCTGAGCCGCATACCTCATCATATTTGAACACGGGCCTACATGGCACACACGATTCGCACTCGAATGACCCATTCGCAACATTGTGAGCGCTTCTAGTGGTACGTCGGCGCGGTGTGGAGAGGCACTTTCGATATTGGCGTAGCTCCAGTATTACTCAAACCACTGAATATTTTTTATGGACAGAAGGGGGATGTGTATGCCAGTGCAGAAGCAGCTTAAGAAGTCTTAAAGGCAGTGGGCACAATCGCTGGAGGCGAGCGGTTGTGCCAGCGTCACTGGAAGTGCTGAACAAGGGCACTTTTCCATACTGCCCGACGCTCTGTGACTAACTGGTGATGGTTGTAACTAACTCCCTTCCACCAACGACGCTGGCAACAACCGCCCAGTTCCAGCAACCGTACCCACGGCTTTTCAATGAAATCCTTTGTTCAGCATAGTCATTCGAGAGATCGGAAAACCGGTATCAATAGTGTTAGTCCTATTCCTCATTTATAATTTCGTTGCGCTTGCAGTGATAGCTATATTTTGGAAAGGTCCTATGAAAGTTCAACAGGTTAGATTTATTTAATTTTCGTTGACTTCTTTCTGCGTCGCATTCAGCAGTGACCGGAGTAGGGCACATTATTGTTGTGTTTCTCACAACGAAGGTCGTTCTTGTAGTCCACGACCTCCCCCTGATCCGCTCGACGGCACAGCATCCAGAATTTTAGGGGAAGCTGGTGAATGATAAGAAGGATTTGGAACAGGATCGTTCCAAAGAAGAAATTCCAAAGTTCGGAAGAGGGTTGGGGTTGAGCAAAAGATTTTATTAAATGCGGGGCTCTAAACAGGAGGAGAGGCGATTCCTAATTGTGTGGATAAACATGGACGCAACTGTAAGTCAAAAGTGACCTTCTCTGAAGCGGAATCAAAGCGGATTTTATAACTGTGGGTGAAGAGAGGGTCTCCGCTGGATTTGAGGAGGAATTTGGGAGAGTACTGTGGTGAATAGAGGGTCTCCGCTGGATTGGAGGAGGAATTTGGGAGAGTCGAGGGATATCGCCTTTTTCAGAGCCAGTCCCGCGACACCTCCGATTCTCAACTCTCGACGTACTTGTTTGATGTGTACCTAGTCCCCGAAACGCGCGATCGCGTGATGCCGCCATTATTGACTGTAGGCCAGCAGGACAAGTGACTACTTGTTCGGCGAAAGCGTGCCCCTTTTGTCGACACTGTTCCGTCTTGGGATTGCAGAGTGGGTAGGAGAGCCCGGTTCCACCTTGATAATCCGTAGCCGCAGGTCCTCCTTAGACAATTCATTCACCTCCTTTGAAGTCGATTATCTGCTTGGTGCTGCGCCTGGTGGGGGAAGCCATGCTTTCGAATCTACTCCTTCAATTAAGGGGCTGAACACGCTCTCGAATAGCTCAGATGTCATCGCTAAAATTCTAGTTCTAGCACATCCTGAAGGAACTGACTGGTCACTACTTGCCGCATAGACAGCTTACCTCTTCAATATTCAATGTCATTACGTTTTACTAGTTTTACTTTATTTTGAAGGTATCACTAATTTTTCTTGGCGCGATGATCGCACTATCTCTTCTGCAATTCATTCCAAAATGGACATGTTGGTTGCTTGTGGTTGTCATCGCTATATGGGATGTGATTGCCGTCCTTACACCATGTGTATGTTGGAGCCTTCAATAATATAATATCGTTTAGTTGTTGAACAGTAGTTCGGTTAAGGGCCCACTGAGAATGCTGGTTGAATTGGCCGAAAAGCGAGACAAGGACATTATGCCAGCAATGATCTACAGTAAGTTTCAGGGCTGTACTAATAGTGGATACATGGCGAATTGACGAGGTTCTTTCAGCCTGTTTTGAGCTTAGGTCAGCAGCGGAGCGGAAATCCCCACCCTACTACGCGACCCTCATCAACTGTAATAACAGCTTTAGCGTGATGCATTCAAAACATCCAACAATGGGACCTTTTCAAGCATTTCTCATATGACAAGACCAGGTAGACGAGAAGCTCCGAAGGATTGATTCACTCACTCACTTCCTTCACTTGGCCACTAAAGTCCTTACCCGATCCAATGCGAAAGGAGAATACCCCATTGCATAGCTCGGGATTATTTCTTCACAGGTTCCAGTATTCTAGGACCACAAGATCTTAATATAAAAAGTAGTGGACCGTGAGAACAAAGGCTGGTCACATTTCGTAGTTTGAAGACAGCGTCTGCGATCAACCAAGGTGCAGAAATTTCCTAGTGTACAAGGTGGGAAGTCCACAATCACCGAGGATGTACCGCTCCTGCGACTGGAAGCGCCTGATAAACGGTGGCGGGCTCAACTACGATTAAGCAAACCCCGCCTTCTCAAGCTAGCTCCTCCCGATCGATGTCAACTTCGTTGACAATGATAA